GATTAATCAGGACCGTTCTTGCCAAATCAAATCAAATCAAATCAGTTGGACGGTATGGACTCAGTGGCCACTAGAGGCTGAGAGTATATAGTAGGGTCTCCCGGAATATTATAAATCGGTTGTTCAAAAAACAGATGGTCCTACACACCTCTGTTCTGTCCTTTGGCTTCTAAACAAAGATGAGAAACCTTTTTCCACCCAAGGGTCAAATTCAGGTTGAGAGGGTGAAGGGGAGGCAACAGATTGAGGTAAAACTACTATTGTGCATGTATGCCTTCAATTCACCTGTTGACTTATGATGACCCCATGATTTTCACAGGGCTTTCTTGAGTAACAAATACTCAGAAGTGGTTTTGCCAATTCCTTCCTCTGAAATGTCACCTATGGCACCTGATATTTATTGGTAGTCTCTCATGCAAGTATCAATCAGGGTTGAACTTGCTTAGTTTTCAAGATCTGATGGGATCTTGTACCTTTAGGATATTGGAGGTACATCTGCCATGGAGACACTTCGACCTTTGAAAATGGGAAGAAACCTATATAAAAACTGGGAAGTCACCAAATGACAGTGTCATGGAGAGGGTTTGTGGCCTAGGATCAGCTTTGGTTCCCCACCCCTGCTTCTCTAGCAGGGCCCATTCAAGGTATTTTGCTGCCTCAGCAACAAATAGCATCCTGCCTCCCAAACCAAAGTGCATTGCAACCAAAGCCATCCAAGTTATTATATTAGGATAAATAGAATATCCTGATTTAGGATGTTCCTAAGATTAGGAAATACTGCAAGCACCAGATAATGAAAGAACAAATTAAAAAAAGATTTTTGCCTTCTCCTGCTATGCAAAATCTGCTGTCTCCTCACTTTGCCTTATACAGTCAGCTCTCTGTATTCACAGATATTTTTATCCACAGATTCAAGCATCCATGGTTTGAAAATTACCCACCTTGAATCCCATTGTGGGAGAAAGGGAGGATATAAATCCTTGAAATAATAAATAAGTAAATAAATAAATATATTTTTAAATATATATATTCCAAAAAGCAAACCTTAATTTGGTCATTTGTCATGAGGGACACCATTTGACTACTACATCATTGTATTTAACAGGACTTGAGCATCCATGGATTTTGTTATCCACAGGGGTGGGGTAGGGGTCCTGGTCCACATCGTCACGGATACCAAGGGCCCACTGTAGTATCATAGAACCATAGAATCATAGAATTGGAAGAGACCATAAGGGCCATCTAGTCCAACCCCCTGCCATGCTAATAGGTCCAGCCCTGTTCTAGATGAGAGGCGCAAATTTCATCTCAATCCCATGTGGCATGCTGTGTTCCTCAATTCATCTTTACAACAGTGTCTGAATCAAGGTGAAGGTGAGAGAAAAAGAGATCCTATTGTTTGCTCTGTGTCTCAAGTCGGAGCTAAGTATTTTCTCCTGTTTTCTCTTCTGAGAGATCTGAGAGGTTTAGCCATTTGCCTTGAAACTCCCCCAGTCTCCCAGCAATAATCTGTGAAGCAACAATCCTTTAGGTCCCCTCTGGAGCCTTCCATCTCCAGCTCCACCACCCCCTCTCCCTCCTATTCTTGGCCAAGCTACCTTAGGAGTGCGTGACAGAAGCCAGGAGATAAAGGAAATGAAAGTGGTAAATGCTGATCAGCTCCAGAATTTACTGCCTTGGCCTTCGTGACTACAGCCCCCAAGCTCCTCAACAGCCAAAATTTTTCACACGCAAATTTCGGCTAGAGTTGCTCCTGGGTCAGGTCCCTGTACACAGCCAGCTCTGCGTGTAATGTTTGGAAAGGGGGGAGGAGAGCTCCCAAAAATGTACCTCTTGAAGAGAAATACAGGGTGGCAGGAAGCTGAACTCCCAAACTCACTCGGGCCCCCCTTGGCAGCCCCCATTTCTCTTGCTCACCAGCAGAGCTGGCAATAATTATGAATAACAATGCTTGTGGCCTGGAATCGGATTGAATTACATTACATGCAGACTGACAGACGGTTAGCAAGTGGAACGCTTCTTGCAAAACTCAGATGCTGACTCCCATGTGGAAGCTTCCCAGACAAATCCAACTTCCTTCCCCAACCCGTCACACACACATCTTGATTTTTACAAAAAGGATACTGGTAGGTTATGACAAACATGCCTAGGCTTGACTAGGGTTGCTGGTCATTCTGATGCTGAGCAGCAAACTTTCTTCTAACTCTAGAAAAATGGGTGCAATGTTTATTAGCAGAGAGCCCTAAAAGGGCTTCCAGGAAGGTTCGCAGTCTAACTCCAAGATAAATGCTTTCTTTTTCCATGAATTTAAAAGTCACGGTGACTGGAGAACAGCCTGGTGTTCTAAAGGCTGGAGGAGACAACACTCAAGAGAGAAGAATTGTGCAATCTGTTGTCACTTTTGAAGCAAGGTGACCACACGTCCCATTTTACAGAGGAGTACAATCCTCTATTTGCCCAGTCTAAGTCAAGATCCAAGAGCTATTGAAAAGGGAGAGAAGAAGGACAAGCAGTACAAATTCCCATTCAATGCTTCGTGTTTGGAGAACAGATGGTGCAGAGAAGTCATCTAATCACAGTCTTCTCCCTTATTTTGGGGTGCTTTGTTTTTCTATTTAAAATTACATTTATGTATTTAAGGGATTTATATCTTGCCTTTCTCCCAAAATGGGATTATAAGGCAATATCCTGCATGAGGCACACTGTGATGTCATAGCTATACCCTTTGTCCCAGTCTGTACCCCCCTTAAAAATCCCCTTCAACTGTAGCAAGCAAGAGGAGTTCTGTGGTAGCAATACCATTTAGCAATACCATTTACATTTCTATACAGCTTCAGAATGAATTAAGCACTTTCTAAGCAGTTTACAATGTGTAAGCCAATTGCCTCCAACAATCTGGGTACTCATTTTAGTGACCTCCAAAAGGATGGAAGGCTGTTGCTGCAACTTATACAGATTTTTTCAGGAGGTTTCTGCATTTGTTTAGTCACCTTCTTCCTTCACTCCCATTCATTGGACCTTATCACACGCTGGCAACGAAGCGAAAAGTAAC